AAATTCTTGTTGGTGTAGACATAGGATGTACCCACCCCCACTCCACTCTACCTAAAAACACAGAAGATCATATTAATTTGTACAAACAAATATACTGGAGGGACCTAAGAATAAGACAATGTGATTTATATATTAAACAATTCATCAAATTATGTCCAGGGGAGGGACATTTTTCTTGCCTTGGGGGAGCTTCACATAGCTATACATGTCTCTCTAGACTTCTCCCTTTGTCAAGGTTCCTTTCAATTCTTATTTAGTATCCAGGGGAGCCTAGTAAGGGGTAGCCTCTCAGTAACCCATTGTATTTTCTAATTTTCTTCAGCCAACTTTGTCAAATAATTTAAAGGTAGGGTAGCTGCAGAGGACATGAAGAAATTATATACCAAGGATCACAATTTGGAACTTGAAATCAAACTGATAATTCAGAGTGTCCTATTGTAGATATTCAATAAGCACTTTATTAAGTGATTGATTAGATGATAAAACACCTAAACTCTTGCTACTCAAAGTGTGTTCTGAAGACCGGCATCATCCACATCACCTGAGAGCTTTGTGGAAGTGCAGACTCTCTGGCTACACACCAGACCTAACCAAACCAAACCAACTGCTGTCAAGTGGATTCTAACTCATAGTGACCCTAAAGATCAGATTACAACTGCCCCATAGGGTTTCCAAGGTTGTAAATCTTTACAGAAGCAGACTGCTTCATCTTTTTCCCGTGAGGCATTTTGTGGTTTCAAACTGCTGAAAATCAGGGCTTTTACTTAGACCTATTGCAGGAAAATCCACAATTTAGCTAGACACTCAGGTATTTCTTATATATACTGCAGTCTGAGCACTAAACTAGTACTTTGTTCAATTATATCTATTTGGTTTCCAAGAAACAGCGTTCTAGAAGAGAATGGGAAGTGGCAGGCACTATCAGGTTCTTCATATTTTACCTATGTAATCTTCACTCATCTCTGTAAGTAGGTGTGAATGTAACTGTCGGACAGATGATGATGCTATGACTCAGAGATGAGAAGTATCTTGCTCAATATCACATATTTGATCACTGATAGAACCAGGATTGGAATATGGAGTTGACTCCAGAACTAAGATATTCTTTTCTCGTACCAGCTCTCCTCCCTGCAGTAGAAAAGCATCATTCATTCTCCATTTGGCCCTGCAAATTTCAAAACCATATTGTTAGGAATCAAAGATGATTTTTCAGATAGTGATTAAGCTCAGATACAATTAAGTTGTGTTATAATTGATGAGTGAAGAATCTTTATGTCAGCCAAAAAATATTCAAATTGTATGGGTTCCCAAAAAGGTGATTTATGTTTAAGATGGTGGTTTGGATTTAGCATGTCCTTGTTGCTGATGCTCTAAACCTCTTCATTGACTATCTCCTTAGGTTTAACTTTTGAATCCCAATGTGACTCAATAGGGTTTGCTGGCATCAACAATACTGAAACACACATTCAAGCATAGTAGTTTCGTTGTCCTACTGAGCTAAAATTTATCTTCCCAAGGCAGTCCTCACATTTGGTCTCTGGTCAATTTCACCCTCTGTCCCTCTTGACAACCTCAGGTGCTGTATTAACCAGCATTTTCTAGAGAAACAGAACCAATAAGATATATAACTAACTAGTTTCCTTCAGTTTGATTCTGACTCATGGCAACATCGTGTGCACAGAGTAGAACTGTTCTCTATAGGGATTTCATGGCTGTGGCCTTTTGGAAGCAGATTGTCAGTCAGGTCTTTCTTCTGAGGAATCTCTGGGTTTGAACCTGCAGTCTTTCAGTTAGTAGCTGAGTGCTTAACCATTTGTGCCAGCCAGGAACTCCAAAGATACATAAATAGTTATATTTTGAGGAATTGGCAAGTGATTGTAGGGGCAGCCAAGCCCATAATTTATAGGGCAGGCTAACAGGCTGGAATTCAACAGGAATTAAAATTACAGTCTTGAAGCAGAATTTCTTCTCTGGGAAACCTCAGTTTTGCTCTTAAGAACATTCAACTGATTGGATGAGGCCTACCCATACTATTGAGGGGAATCTCCTTTTCTTAACAGTCCACTTATTATAGATGTTAATCACATGTACAAAATATCATCCCAGCAACACTGAGATGAGCGTCTGACTGAACAATTGGCATAGCCAAGTAGATACATAAAACCCATCATCACAGAGCACTTGCATATTTGCTATCTAATTTGAGCCTCACCATATCTCTGTGACCTCAGAAGGAAGATGGGGCAATCTACTTCCATAGTGATACTGCCTTGAAAACCCAAGGAGGGGTCGCTATGAGTCGGGTCCGACTTGACGGCACATAAC